AACATGATTTACGTCCAAAAGACGTCTGCATTTGGTTGAAAAGCGAAAGTTGAAAAACTAATTTTCATATAGTTGAAAAGACGTGAAACTGGGTTTGGAACATCTTTTAAACATCTATTGTTAGACTAAAATGGGACAAAATCAGAACGACCAAACAGCTCAATTTTTAACAACTATTTCAGGACTAAATCAATGACGGACCAACCAGATTTAGCCTAAAAACCAAGATCTGAATGACGTTTGGTATTTGATCTATTGGCATCTAGTAAAAACACCATGATGGTTTCTACCCTTTACCTCATTATTTACATTGACCTGATGTTTCTAATGATACAATGATAATAAAATACATCAAAACATGTTTACAGTTATTTATTGGAAATCAATTTTAATCAAATCAGTTCAGGTTATTTATATAGCAACAACTGACAACACACGTCATCTCAAGGCACTTAATATAGACAACTCAAATCATCCAGACAGCTCGGTTCAAAGTTTTCCATCTAAAGAAAGCCAGATGATTGCATCGACTCATTGGCTTCATAGGATTCTCCTCCTGGATGAGCATGTAGTGACAGTAGACATTGGCTTGCAGTGAATCATTGACTCTGTATATATATTGAAACAAGGATTCCCCAAATATATAATTGTGAGCAGAAGGATTCTGAAATAAAAACAACTTTAAAGAAGCAGCTCTGTGTAGCTAAAGCCACGACTTTCTAACAAGCTTATGCAGGTATTCCAATATATCTCTGCTTCAGAGCTATAAGTTGGACTTGGTTAATTATTGTACTTTTAAATTTCTGTATTATAATTTCTTGCATTTGCAAAGCAATGCTCAGTTTCAGGCACCATGAAATTCTAACTAAATGATCTATAATAGTTTTTTTCTTCTGTCGTCATCAGTGGCGCTCTTTACTAGATTGGGGTATTTTAGTTCAATAGTTACAGTATATGGTGAAAGCTTTGAGTATATCAAGCATACATTCTCTGTATTTCCTTCTTATTTAGAGCTCTAGAGGCAGTAAAGGAAGTCGCTCATGCAGGTCGCTTCATTATTGTATCTGAAGAGTAAATGAATCACGTTGGCCAATAAGAGTAGGAATATTAGCTTGCAAGTTGGAAAAATAAGTCCTTGCCCATCCAATTTGTGGACTGGACATTATTTGTGAAATGACTGTATCCAGGCTGCCTTCAGTCTGGCAAATATCAACGTCACGGAAGCTATGCCACTCAAACCCTATTGTGTAGGAGAAGACACATTTCAATTCACCTCCCTTATAGTACAAACAACAACCTGGCTCCATGTACGGTGGTAAAAATAAGTTTGCCTTTAAATTCTCCTTTAGATGACTCTTGTATTTGTCCAGAAGAATGCCAGCTTGCTGTTGGTAAAGACCAGCGACTGTGTTTGCCTTGGTTCCATCTGTCTCCTCTAACCGTTCCAGATGGATCATCATCTGGGTGTGAAAGGCAGCTCCATTCATCCACTGGTTAAGGAGTCGAGCACTCATGGTTATCTGGTTGTCCTTCACAATGGAGTTCTGAAAGGAGCAAATTTCCAACCCTATTAAGAATTACCAACAAGCTTTAACATTAATAATACAGGACTTCTACAGACATTTGGATTTTAAAACTCAACGAGATCCCTGGATAAAAGCAAGGTTGTTTTAAGTATTGCAACACTTAATAGGGAGTTCCCACAAGGAAATGCAAGTAAATAACTCAGGAATGTACTGTGTTGGTAGCATGCTGGTAGGCGGTAATACATTAGGAGCAGCATCACCAAGGATTTTACTCAATATTTATTTATTTTTTGCAAGACCTATGCATTTTTTAAGTGCTGCAGAGACACTTAAGATGATGCGTCCTTAAAAAGATCCAGTACAGATAGCTCTTATAGCTATAGATCCATAGAAGTGATCAAATGCCAATAGAGTTCCTTTACTCTGAAAGAAACTGATATTTGCTTATATCACTTCTCTATATGCACTGTCTTTATTTAACATCTCAAAAGTAAAATGGATGCTAATAAGATATGGTTTAAGAAAAATTTCAAGTAGTTAAGACATATGTGTGTGTTTAGGTGTGGAAAATAATGTGATTCTGTTTATCTTTCCATTGTCTATATGAAGACTTTTGAGAAGTTTTTTTTTTTTTTTTTTTTACCAATAATAAGGTGATCAGAGTAAATCTGTGCTGTAGTATGACTGTATATATGCCACCAGACGCCTGATGCTTAGTTACAAAGTTTGTTTACATTTACTTCGTCTCATTCTTGGTATGTAATGGAATTTTCACTTTCCTGTTTTATCTGCTTTTCCTTTACACCTTTCAACCCAACAACAATTACTGCTGTTTTCCATGAAGTGGAACTGCAACCGGGGCTCTATATACTTGGTATAATGAGGGAATTATCTATTGTCTTATCATTAGAGTTAGACTCTAAAATCCCCTGCTTTGACAGACAGGTGCTTTATGGAAGCTCTTTTAGACTCCTACCCTCCTCCAAGCATGTAAGCAGAAAGAGGTAAGCCTGGATCACTGATCTCTTATTCACACAGGCTCTGTCATCTATGTTTATCAAACTGACTAAAATGTAAGTCATTCTAGTCAGTGTGATTAGTGATTGTTGGCTCAATACCTGCCTTAAAATGTGATATATTAAATCTTCACAGGGATTTGATTATTTGCTTAAAAGTAACCAAGAATGTAATTTACTTTACAACTCCAAAACTAAGCCCTAACCGTACAGTAAAGCGTTGAGAAAGTATTAGGTCCAGTGGTCTTCAAACAATTACAGAATATAACAGGAAGTTTATAAACTGGCAACCTAACCCCTTAAGCCCGGGCCCAACTAACACTAGCTGATGTTTATCTTTTTATAGAAATGCCCAAAATGCAGTCACATGGTGTTTCATCCACACGCCTTTCAAATGCTTGTGTTATACAGGTGCTGGTCATAAAATTAGAATATCATGAAAAAGTAGATTGATTTCAGTAATTCCATTTAAAAAGTGAAACTTGTATATTATATTCATACATTACATACAAACTCATATATTTCAGATGTTTATTTTGTTTAATTTTGATGATTACAAATGACAACAAATGAAAATCTCAAATTCATCATATCAGAAAATTAGAATATTACTGAAGACCAATAAAAACAAAGGATTTATAGAAATGTTGGCCAACTGAAAAGTATGAACATGAAAAGTATGAGCATGTACAGCACTCAGTATTTAGTTGGGCCTCCTTTGGCCTGTATTACTGCAGCAATGCGGCGTGGCATGGAGTCGATCAGTCTGTGGCACTGCTCAGGTGTTATGATAGCCCAGGTTGCTCTAATAGTGGCTTTTAGCTCTTCTGAATTGTTGGGTCTGGTGTATTGCATCTTCTTCTTCACAATACCCCATAGATTTTCTATGGGGTTAAGGTCAGGAGAGTTTGCTGGCCAATTAAGAACAGGGATACCATGGTCCTTCAACCAGGTACTGGTAGCTTTGGCACTGTGTGCAGGTGCCAAGTCCTGTTGGAAAATGAAATCTGCATCTCCAAAAAGTTGGTCAGCTGCAGGAAGCATGAAGTGCTCTAAAACTTCCTGGTATGTGGCTGCGTTGACCCTGGACCTCAGAAAACACAATGGACCAACACCAGCAGATGACATGGCACCCCAAACCATCACTGACTGTGGAAACTTTACACTGGACTTCAAGCAACGTGGATGAAGTGCCTCTCTTCTTTTCCTCCAGACTCTGGGACCTTGATTTCCAAAGGAAATGCAAAATTTACTTTCATCAGAGAACATGACTTTGGACCACTCACCAGCAGTCCAGTCCTGTTTCTCTTTAGACGCTTCTGACGCTGTCTGTGGTTCAAGAGTGGCTTGACACAAGGAATGCGACAGCAGAAACCCATGTCTTTCATACGTCTGTGTGTGGTGGTTCTTGAAGCACTCACTCCAGCTGCAGTCCACTCTTTGTGAATCTCCCCCACATTTTTGAAGGGGTTTTGTTTCACAATCCTCTCCAGGGTGCGGTTATCTCTCTTGCTTGTACACTTTTTTCGACCACATCTTTTCCTTCCCTTCGCCTCTCTATTAATGTGCTTGGACACTGAGCTCTGTGAACAGCCAGCCTCTTTAGCGATGACCTTTTGTGTCTTGCCCTCCTTGTGCAAGGTGTCGATGGTCGTCTTTTGGACAACTGTCAAGTCAGCAGTCTTCCCCATGATTGTGTAGCCTATAGAACTAGACTGAAAGACCATTTAAAGGCTTTTGCAGGTGGTTTGAGTTAATTAGCTGATTAGAGTGTGGCACCAGGGGCCATCAATTTTGAACCTTTTCACAATATTCTAATTTTCTGATATGATGAATTTGAGATTTTCATTTGTTGTCATTTGTAATCATCAAAATTAAACAAAATAAACATCTGAAATATATGAGTTTGTATGTAATGTATGAATATAATATACAAGTTTCACTTTTTAAATGGAATTACTGAAATCAATCTACTTTTTCATGATATTCTAATTTTATGACCAGCACCTGTAGTCAAGATGTGAATCTATAAAGTCTGAGGGTTCATCCAGAGTTTCAAATGGGTTTTCATGGTGTTTTGCAGTTTATTTTGGACATAATTTTGGCGAGGCTAATTATTTTTAATTTTTTCTTTGTTTAATCACCTAGAAATCTGACATGGTGACTCTTATAATAGTGGTTCCACCTGAAGAATATTCCCCAATGCCTTTCTGTTATACAAATACCAACAATTGTATTTCCAATTAATTGTTTGGAAGCTGTACTTGCTTTAATTCACATATGTACTGTACTGTTATTTCAGGTGGGATTTGCTACTAAGACCCTCAGGCCTTTAGGGGTTAAAAAAGTACAAACACACACACACACCATGCAAAGATTAATTACTTTTTAAACTTCATGTAAAAATATGTAAAAGTTTGCATTTTTAGCAGATCATTTTTGTGTTTTGATTTTTTACCTCTAGTCTGGTGAGCTGGGTGCTAAGTTGGGATTGTAGTCGCTTGGTGCTTTCAATCAGGCCAGCCTGATCCCTCAAGTTGATCCTCAGTTGCTTAATATATTCGTCCATAAGATCTCTGACCTGCCCAGGTAAGGATTAAAGTTATTTAGATTCATTAAAACAGATTTTTTTGTGTGTTTAGGACAACAAACAGCTGATTTTATATCAGCAGAACAGTTTCAGATCATACCTCATTGGCTTTCTCCTCAGCAAACACTCTTCGTAGTAGATCCGCTGTGCCCATTGTTTGTTTCCCCATGTTTTTTGCCACATTCTCTAAAATCATGGAAATGACCAAAGCCACCAAACCAACAGAATTGGATATCTGGCCGAATCCACCCAGTGGACCACTCAACGTCTGCACAATCCCCGCTGCCTCAGCCATTCCTCCGCTGAATAAGACCTCGTCTCTGTATCTATTCAGCTCTGCAACAGAGTTGTTTCCAGAAAACCTCTCCAGGGAACTGCATGAAAAATGATCAGTTAGCTTAAGTAACAGTGTTTGTTTTATAAGGCACAGCTCTTGCAATATTTACAGTTGTCAACATTATTAAAGTGTTGCTCACAATTCTCTATTATTCTCTATATTATTCTCTAATTCTCTCCCTATTATTGCCCCATTCAGAAACCAAACTCCTCCCCATTGAGTGTCGGAACATGTCATCCTGCAGGATCGTGTCCTGCAAACTCAATGACCTGATGCAATTAGCTGGTTTTTCATTGATTGAAAACTTTTTTTTTTATCTGATTGTGTGTTCTGATTGAAATTTCCCTGTAAATTGCCTTGGGATGAATTGTAGGGTTATAAAGAAGTTGAGCCCCCCCATATGCTCACCTAAGCAAGTTAGATACTTATGACACAGTGAAACTGACTGCATGACCTGCTATAGTTATTAGATCTTTTGAGGGCTAGGGAATTTAAATTTCCAAAGCAAAGTAACAAACCCTGCTCTCAAGTGAACTACTTTGATCCTGATACACACATTGTTCATTCAACCCAGGGGCACATAAAACAAATTACACAGGTGATTTAAGAACTTTATAGTACTTAAAATCTTCTTTTATTTGCATTTTTCTACTGTGCTCTACTAGAATACATCCCTGGTTAGCATTAGTCATTCAAATTCAAAAGTATTGTGATTGGACTGTGTGTTTAACTCTTTACAATGTAAACTTATTTGGTGTTTACTGCAATGACCAGCATACTTGCCTGTCAATTTCAAATCCATTCCACTGTTGAGAAGCGAAGAAACCATGAACCCATGGCACCACACTAATTTCTCTCTGCTGTTGAGAAACTTCGGCTCCCATTTTCTTTTTTTTATGTTTTTCATGGAAGGAACAAGAAAACAGGTATGTTATATATTTGTTAGGAGTTCTGGACAGTACTTTCAATATTGGTGAGCACAGTAAGAAGTTAGCTCCTCCCAAAGAGTGGCTGAATGTAGCCTAAAATTAGGAAGAGTTATGGTAGGAGAGCAATAATGTGCGAGAAGTGTCCAGAAACTAGCAAGACCTGGGGTTGGTTGGTAAACAAGTAAAGCAAAAAAGAAATGGGCTCCAAGAAATAATAGTGAAGAGAGTAGCTGATCATAGAATTAAGGCTGGTAAAGAAATTGGAAAGTCAGCGTGATGAAACTTAACAAATTATTTATCAGAGAATTCTACAACTTAGTTGACGGAACATGAGATAACCTGTTTTTGGTTTGTTTTATAAAACGAGATGCACATCATTTTAGTTTTATTGTTTTATATACATATTACATGAAGATCTACTGAAGTTAATTTCAAATTAAATAGATTAATTAATTCAACGGGAGGAAAAGAATTTACTTTAGGTTTAGGATTAGGATTTACTCGATGATAACAACCTAATGAGCCTACTGGCACAATCTGAAGCCATTCTATGGGACTGATAACCCTTAATAACAACCATTTATTGAGATAACATCCAAAGCGCGGCTGCAAACAGCCACCTATTATTTACTGTGTAAAAGAAGGCTGAATCTTATGCATTGAATTTTTTCAGTGAGAAAACATTTTCCAGTTCTTCAACCAAGGAACTCTGTTGAGGCCTAAAAATACCTTAGATATTTCTCAAAAGGACTCCATTAGTGGCCAATATTAGTCCCATTATTCTTTGTGAATATGAGCCCAAGATGATAGATAAATCCCCAGCAAACACAATGAAAGCCTATTAATGGTTTTACTCACCAAGCAAGAAAAGAATGATGAGAGAAAATCAAGATGTGGCCTTGTTCAAAATAGATGAGGCGAATTTATACACCAGACTGTTTAAACAGTGAGACTAAAGTTCACTTAGCTTTTTTTCATTTTGGATTGGGTAAGAAGACCAAAAAACAAACAGTGGACGGGAACATTTCACTCTAATAAGTATTGTGTGAAAAAAAGTACTCTGCTATCATAAGACGGTTGCACGTAGGCCAAAAAAATTAAATTTTTATCTCCCCTACGTGTCTTGTGGAGCATGACTTTGATTCATCCATGGATTTTATTTGCTACACAGTGGAGGATAGATGCGTGGAATGCAGGACTTCAGCACATAAGTTATTGGTGGGTTATTGATGGGAAGGAACTCTTTATTAAAGTACTATACTCTTTCTGAGGTAAAATAAAAAAAATCACACTATGCTAATTTTTTATTTAAAATTGAAAAGAATCTGTCCAGTATGCTCCAAGCATGCACACACATTGGAGAGGAACATTAAAATGTTTTCTTAAAGCTAAGACAGAGATATTATTAAAACACCTAATACTTTAAGACCATCGGGGAGAATTTGATCTTGATAAAACCATATCGAAATTAAATGTGTTCTATGTGTTTGAAGATGTTTGGAACAAACTACATGCACAGTTTATTCAAAAGTGGTGTCAAAGTACGCTTCTATATCTCTACTATTCAAGGACAAAAATCAGACTTTGAACTATATTATCTATTTAACCAGAGAAAGTGTGTGTTTAAACTTTGGAAGGTGGAAATGATGTTGCCAATCCCCTTCATTGACGGTAAGTTTGTGCATAAGTCTCATCCCTTCACCTCTTTAACCGCTGGAAAAAAAAAAAAAAAGAAATATATATATATATATATATATATATATATATATATATATATATATATATATATATATATATATATACACTCACCGGCCACTTTATTAGGTACACCTGTCCAACTGCTCGTTAACACTTAATTTCTAAGCAGCCAATCACATGGCGGCGACTCAGTGCATTTAGGCATGTAGACATGGTCAAGACAATCTCCTGCAGCTCAAACCGAGCATCAGTATGGGGAAGAAAGGTGATTTGAGTGACTTTGAACGTGGCATGATTGTTGGTGCCACAAGGGCTGGTCTGAGTATTTCAGAAACTGCTGATCTACTGGGATTTTCACGCACAACCATCTCTAGGGTTTACAGAGAATGGTCCGAAAAAGAAAAAACATCTAGTGAGCGGCAGTTCTGTGGGCGGAAATGCCTTGTTGATGCCAGAGGTCAGGGGAGAATGGCCAGACTGGTTCGAGCTGATAGAAGGGCAACAGTGACTCAAATAACCACCCATTACAACCAAGGTGGGCAGAAGAGCATCTCTGAACGCACAGTACGTCAAACTTTGAGGCAGATGGGCTACAGCAGCAGAAGACCACACCGGGTGCCACTCCTTTCAGCTAAGAACAGGAAACTGAGGCTACAATTTGCACAAGCTCATCGAAATTGGACAATAGAAGATTGGAAAAACGTTCCCTGGTCTGATGAGTCTCGATTTCTGCTGCGACATTCAGATGGTAGGGTCAGAATTTGGCGTCTACAACATGAAAGCATGGATCCATCCTGCCTTGTATCAATGGTTCAGGCTGGTGGTGGTGGTGTCATGGTGTGGGGAATATTTTCTTGGCACTCTTTGGGCCCCTTGGTACCAATTGAGCATCGTTGCAACGCCACAGCCTACCTGAGTATTGTTGCTGACCATGTCCATCCCTTTATGACCACAATGTACCCAACTTCTAATGGCTACTTTCAGCAGGATAATGCGCCATGTCATTAAGCTGGAATCATCTCAGACTGGTTTCTTGAACATGACAATGAGTTCACTGTACTCAAATGGCCTCCATAGTCACCAGATCTCAATCCAAAAGAGCATCTTTGGGATGTGGTGGAACGGGAGATTCGCATCATGGACGTGCAGCCGTCAAATCTGCGGCAACTGTGTGATGCCATCATGTCAATATGGACCAAACTCCCTGAGGAATGCTTCCAGCACCTTGTTGAATCTACGCCACGATGAATTGAGGCAGTTCTGAAGGCAAAAGGGGGTCCAACCCGTTACTAGCATGGGGTACCTAATAAAGTGGCTGGAGAGTGTATATATATATATATATATATATATATATATATATATATATATATATATATATACATCTATATATAGTTTTACTTAGTAATACTGTAGTAGAAGAGTGCACTGACAGGTGAACTGACCCACTACAACTCCGTTGCCCAGATTTATTATCTTGGGAGTTTTTTTTGTTCAAGTTTCATAAAGGTCTCAAATCTGTTCATTGTTTCATATCTGTTTCCCACCCGTGTGTGTGTGTTTCAAATGATATTAAGATCAGCCCTTAACTTGGGGCACATTGTGTCTGAAATGCTGTTTGGCCTTTGAACAGACAAAATCGATCTTTCCTTTTTGTTGAAACAGTGTCTGACTTCTTGATAATTAAACATTTCCAAAACAGACCACATAAACAGTGCAGCATCATGTTAAGCTGTGCTTTCAAACAATTACAGTTACATGTAAAAAAAAAAAAAATAGAAATAAAAAAATAATTTTCTAATCATTGAGTTGTGTTTTTTTTATTTTAAATTAATGGTCTAAAAAATGTTTGTTTTAACAAAGCTGGATTTTTTTTTTGTGATCCCTGTAAAGCTGCCTGTTTATAAATTTTATCACTAGCCACCGGGGCCCTGATACATTCAGATATCTAAATATGTATATATATTTTTTTCTTATCAGGAACAGAATTTGTCTTTGATCAAAAATTTCTTCAGGAAACTGATCATTAACTCTGAAGTGAATTCCCCATAGCTCTTTGCCTTGACTTTTTGTTTAAAGTGCTTGAACTTTGCAACTATAGCACTAGGTTTACTGTGACCAGACATCCCTGATTTCCGGGAACAGTCCCCGTTTTGGAACGCCTTTCCTCGGCTAAAGCTGTCCCCAGAAATGTCCCAGATTTTGCTGTTTTATGAATGAGGGGGGAACTGTTGTGTGTAGACATGTTATTACGGTAGAAACAGAGAGCAGAAACAGCCTTTAGCTAGCTGCTTGGCAGCTGTTAACGTATAGATGAGAAGCAGAGCGGACAGAGGAAGAAGTGGAAGGTTATTGTCACAACCGGTCACAGCTGCCGGTTAATGGGTTCATTTGATTTGAATTGGCCTGATCGTTGTGATAAATGTTAGGTTTGTGTCCAGGTCAATAAAAAAAGGGCTTTGATGTGTTTTGCTTCACTAAAGATGAGGTCTGGAAATGTAACCTTAGATAATCAACAAAATTAAGACAGACCATTGGCTGTAGCTGGCATGAGTAAAAGAGACTCAGATAAAATCAAACAGAATGATTGAAAACTCTTTGTAAGATGCTAATCTGGTTCTGTGGTTCTTTAAGGATCAACAAGAGTTCACCTAAAGATGGTTTTAGAACTGAATGGAGACCTTTAGTTTATATCTTCAGATAGTTTGTTATTTTAAGTCGAGTTGTAAGTTGCTTTGCTGTTTTATGTGATTTATGAGTAATAATGTCACATCTTGGTTGTGGTTTTGAGGACCCAAATGCAGAGGCAGAGAGGCTGGGGTGAATTCTTGTAGTTTTTAATGATGAAAATGGTTAACAAAGCAGGAATCCAAAAATCCAACAACAAATGTAACAGACCAGACCCATGGAGACATCAAGGAAAAACACGCACAAGGAGCCAGGTAGAGATGAGGTGAGAGGACAACTGCGACAACAGGACCAGCAACAACAAGGAACCAACAAAGAGTGAGAGCAGAGGGAGAGCATATATAGCTGACAGAGACAAAGGGAGGGCTAACGAGATGACAAGGAGCAGGTGTGAGGAGACAACGAGGGAGCCAAGGGGAAAGGAACACACACACACACACACACACAAGAGGGCAAGAGAGGACAACAGAAAAACATGAGAACTGACATAAATCTAGAAATTACAACAAAATAGGAATTAAACCAATAAAACTAGAAAACAAGGAGCAAAGTAAAGCACAACATAACCAAAACCATGACAAATGACTTCCAGGCTTAGGTGTGCATTTCTACCACTCAGTTTGGATGAAAGTTCCTCATTATAAAAAATAACAGGCAAAATAAGAAAAAGCAATTAATTGTATAAATTAAAGTTATGGGCCTAATATGACTCCAATTAAAACGCAAAGGTCTGAGGTCATAACGTAGCAGCCATTCAAAATGGCCCTTCCCAATCAAACGGCAGCCAAATGGCAGCCCACTGGAGTGACCCCTTCTTGCATTTTTTTTACTCTGACTCCACCCTTTCACTGAATTACAGGGTCTGACCAGGAGATTAAGAAGGGGCCATCAAGGAAGATGGGGAAATTTTGAAAGCTACAACTGTAAAATTCAGCATGTGAATTACTTTAGTAAAGTCCTGAAAACATTAACTATATTATCTTCCAGGCAAAGAAAAGCATATCATAAGGGTTCAGTGCTAGGCTCAGTTTTCATTATTATATAAACATGCCAGAGCGTAGTCAGTGTGCTTTATTGTTTCGTTCTTTAGTCCCTCTGAAGCTTTCTCACTAGTGCTGTGCCATGTTTATCAAACGTAAGCAGGGTTGTATCGCCTTGTTAGATCACTGTGTTAACTTCCATCATGGTATCATGTAAATTAGGAGGTCGACCCGGGTCTGAGGATCCCACTATATGCTGATCAGAGATGAGCTGCTTGATGGGGATTTTAACCCAGGTCACTCGCCAAGTCGTTTGACCCGAGTCGACACGTGTCAGTGAGACGCTTCCTCTGTGACTGAAAGCAGATTGTAGAAAAGGGCTATTATGGACCGTCAATACATTTCCAAACCAAACAGTGTTTAGAAACATAAATAGGTGCGCTGTCTTGTGACTTGGGAATCACAAATGCTACGACATTACATAAATGATGGCAACAATTCAATTTCAATTCAGTTTATTTCTATAGCGCCAATTCACAACACATGTCATCTCAAGGCACTTTACAGTTCAACCAGATCTCACAGTCAAATTGATTCAAAGTTTTCTATCTAAGGAAAACCAGTTGATTGCATCGACTCATTGACTCTT